TGGGGCCCGTGGAGGCCACACGCGACGCAGAGCCCAGCTAACGCCGCCTCTCTCTTCTCTCCCATGCTCTCCCACCTGGGACCCTCGGCGGCCTGCACTGCAGAGCGCACTCCCAGCCGGGTAAGTCTCCCGGGTGGCTGCGACAGAGCACAGCCGTTTCAGGGGTGTGGGGGCACAGATGTCACCGTAGTGGGGTCCCATGCAACGGGGAGAGGTGGGCAGAGCAAAGGACTGGGTATGAATCCAAGCTCCCCCCGGCCTCCAGACCAGGTGAAGTGCAGCTCCAAGCACCCGGTGAGGGTCCAGTTGCTTGGGTCTCGCCTAGCAAATCCCTCCTGCTTGACCCTTCACCCCAGCGGGGCCGGGGTGCGCTGAGCGGGGAAGGTCTTTGCCCCCGGGTTGAGGAGCAGAGACCCCGGGTGCCGGGTGGCTCTTGACCCCAGCTCCTTTCCCCGGGTCCCCGTCGCTCCTGACCTTTGCAAACAGCCTGGAGACAGCCGCTTTGTCTTCCCAGCTGGGACCCGGCTCCAGCACTGCCGTGGGGGGATGACAGGGGGAAGGAGGTCATCCCGGCCCTGGGGACGCGGAGATAATTGGCTTCTGTTGATTGTTTCCAGGAGGGGCTGAAGGCAGGGCGCCAGGCCTGCAGCTGGCACAAATCAGCCGAGCTCCCTTGTCTCCACCTGGGGACTGGGCCATGCTGCCTTCCCCCCAGTGCCCCCGCGGGGAGCTTGGGCCCCTGGCCGACAGAGCCCTGGCAGCATGTGCCCACCGGGGCGCTGGACAGGCCTGGGAGGTCCGGGGGGGCATCTTGCTCTTACCACTGACGTGAGCTTAGCCCCCTGGTAGAGACCAGGGGTCCGGGCCAGCTGCCAGGGGGCCTGCATGGTAGGAGCTTGGGCGCTGTAGCGGGGCAGGGAGATCCCCGCTTTCCAGTCCTGGCTCCATCCTCAGTGCCTCAGTTTCCCCTGCTTGGCTAGAGCAGCTTGGGAGGTGGAAGCCGGTGGAGTCCGGCACCAAAGCTGGAGCAAACCTGGCTGGCCGCTCTCCTCCTGCAGCTGCCTCTGGGGAAGGGGGCCGTGCATACTGGCCCCCCCCATAGGACCCTCCTGGCTGAGACCCCCTGGCTCCGTGCAGGAGAAAGCACACGGAGCACCTCTGCGCGGGAGCCTCCCTCGGGGCATCGCTCGAGGAAACGGTGACCCCCCAAGTCAGAGCCGGGTGTAGCCCCAGTCTCAGGAGCCTGTGCTCTAACCACTCGTCCTCGCTGCCTTCGGCCGGTGGAGGAGACCGAGCAGGAGCTAGGAGTGCTCTGCCCACCGGACGATCGCCAAGGACCCCTTTGGGAGGTCCGGGGTTCGGGGTCCAGCCCCAGCCACCCCCGCCCCGCTGCCTGGCTGCTGACTCCCATCGCCCCGGCGTCGAGCCAGCCCCTGCCTGGGCACGAGCGCTGGGAGGCGGCAGAAACGGGTGGTCCAGCGGGGATGGAGGGACTGGCGCCGCCCGCACGGGTACCCGGCTCTGCCAGGTCGGAGGGCTGCAGGTTGGGGGGTGTTGGCTTGGGGGTGAGTCTCTTCCCAGCCGGGCCCCGGGGTCTCAGCAGCGGCAGGGTTAACCGCGGAGGCGCAGGGAGTAAACAGTACATGGCTGATGGGGATTTTCCATTCCTGTCATGCCTCATTATCTCCCGGAGGGGCGGAACCGCCTTTCAAGTCCAGGCCCCAGGAGGCTGCAGGATTTGGCTGTTGGTTTAATGTAGCGGGTGTGCAAACATCTCGCCTAGGGACCGTCTGCCAAGAGGCAGCTCCCCTTCCTCCCATGGAGGTGCGGGGAGGGAGGGCAGGGCAGGGGGCTGTTTCCTCTGCCCCCAGACATCCGCTCCCCCCTCTCCATCTTTGGCAAAGCGGGTCATTGCAAGGCCCGCCTGCCCCCCAGAGCTGGGCGCACCCTGCTGCCAGCCCCCCTGGCTGGGCAGGGGTCCAGGGCTTTGGTGGCTGGGGTTTTGGGGGGTTTTTTTCCCCCCCCCCCCTTCCTCCACCCCCGCCAGTGCAAGCATCACCAGCCCAGGTGGGGAGGATGTGCTAGGGGCTGCGTGTGGCCGGACCGGGCTGGCCTGGGGGGCGGTGCGGACCCCCAGCTCCGTGCCAAGGGGTCTGTGTGCCCGGAGAAGGGCAGGGCGGTGCGGCCAGCTGGGGCCTCTCCAGCTCTTCTGTAAGCTCTTTAAGAGCATTTATGGAATTAAGCCCCGTAATCTCCTTCCTCTCCCCCTGCGGCGAGTAAAGATCATCCCCGGCTCACCAAGGGGGAAGCTGCCGCCTGGGGGAGCCGCTGGTCCCGGGGAGGTTGGCATCGAACCCAGGCATCCTGACCGCGGCCCACCCACGTCTAACCACTGCACCTCGCTGCCTCGCAGGGCTGGACACAGCGCTGGGGGTGCTGCCCTGTGCGTTAGACAGCCTTCCCCTCCCCGAATCAGAAGCGAAGCCTGGCACCTGGCACCCCGACCCGAACCCGCCGGCCTCCCTTTCCTTCCCAGGAGTTTGGACTCCTTTTTTGGGGGTGTCTCTGCCTCGGGACCTGGCTTTTGCACCGTGCTGCACCCCAGGGGGTGGGACTGGGGGACCCGCTGGACCAGACTGGGGCTGCCCCGAGTGCCAGGCCAAGGGGCATCCTCCAACACGCGCCATCCTCTTGCCCCCTGCTCAGAGCCTGTCGGCCTCGCCGCCCGAGAGCCTGCCGGACGAGGAGAGGCCGGGCGGCGCCGGCCTTAAGCGCAAACGGGAGGACAAAGACCTGGCGGGACATTACGTGAGTGCGGCCGGCCCCGGGGGCTGCAGTGGGGAGGGCGCCCCTGGTCATTAATGACTGGGGGGGCAGCATGGCCCAATGGATAGAGCACCAGGGAGCCTCCACGTCCCCTTCCATAGACATGCCAGGTAACCACGTGCGTGTCGCTCCCTCCCTGCCTCAGTTTCCCCTTCCACCTCGCATCTCGTTTAAGAATGTGAGCTGCCATCGAGGGGCTCAGGCCTCAGACCCTCTTGCTGATCCCTTGTCGAGTTAGACTGCATCTCACCGGCTCCGTTAGGTGTACAGCGCCGGGCGTGCAGGATCCCACCCTGAATCCTGTGCTTCAACTGGCTTTAAAATGCAGCGGGAAATATTGGGCAGGGGGGCCAGGAGGTGGGGAAGCGCCGGGCACTGCCTGGCTCCCTGGTTCGGGGAGCATGGATGTTGTCTCCATGCTAGCCCGGGGGGCATGAGAGAGGCACGAATGCTGGCGGGCAGTTATCTTGTGTTACACCGCTTCTCCCCCCCTGCAGGACAGCGATGGGGACAAGAGCGATTACAACCTGGTCGTGGACGAGGTGAGTTTTTCCCTGCATCCCTCCTCGTCTCCAGCCCGGGAGGGAGACAGGATCCAAGGCAATAACAGCTGCAAGAAGCTGCTGTCGGCCTTGCCGCTCGGGGCTGGCAGCAATAGTAAACACTCCTGAAGGCAGGGAAACAACCCGCCGGACCCAGAGCCCCCAGGGATGATGCTAGCTGAGAGGGGAGTCTCCCCGGACAGTTGTCTGTAGCAAATGGGGTTTAAAACCCTCCCCGGCCCGTCAGCCCGCTGGAGGAGCCCCCCGAAGCATCTGCAAGGCTCTGGCTGGACCCTTGCCCTCCTGCACGGTCACCTGCGTGGTCCCCCGAAGGGCCCCGGGTGCTCCTGTTGCCTCTCCCCTGGAGGACCCCCCCTCGGAGCCCGGCAGCCCGGTCCACGTGCCCAGCGGCAAGCTCCCGCCCGCCCGCAGGGACATGCCCGACAGCCCGGCCTCGCTGGGCTCCAGCCGCAGCACAACGCCTCTCAAGCTGAAGGAGCAGAGCCTGGTAAGGGCAGCGCTGGCTGGCACAGGGGTGGTGGATGCGGTAGGTGGCTGCAAAGGAGGTACCACACGTGCCCTCCACTGCCCCATCCCTGTCCCCACAACCCCTTGGGGGGGAAAGGGCACCTTGGGAATAAAGAGAATCCCTGAAGGGGCAGGATTTGTCCAGTGAAAATGCCCTTTGCTCAAACTTTCTTGGTCGGCCCCCCGCCATGGCTAGTGGCAGGAGAGGGCTGTGCTCGCGGGGGCCTGGGCCTGGCACGTGATGCTCTCGGGAGGTCCTCTGCCTGGACGGGTGCCGGGACAGCGATGCTGATGCTAAAGGCTCGTTGCAGACGGACGTCTCGGCCAGCACGCCTGTCCCGAAGTCCACCGGCTCTTCCCCTCCGCGCGACACCCTGACGCCCGGCCCCGGCCCCAGCTCCGTGACCCACCTCCGGCAGAGCTCCGCCAAGACGCCCGCCACCGACACCATCAGTGAGTGTGGGGCTGCGGCTCGGGCAAGGGGAGCGGGGCCCGGAGCATTTGCACCCATGCCACGGCCAACGTAGCGGAGGCTCGTCAGCTGCCGTCCGCGCCTCCTGGCTTCATTAAACCAGCCGGCCGTGGGCATCGGCTGTGGGGGTCAGGAAGGGGAAGCGCCGCCCGAGGGAGCTCCAGACCCAGCCTCTACTGCATAGATACGTGGTGGGACAGGCTCCTCAGGGCATGACTCCACCTGTCTGCGTAAATGATTGGCCAGCCCTCAGCACCGGGATTTGGGCCCCAGCCTCCAAGGAGCCCTTGGCTGCCCTGCTGCTGGCTTGCTGAGCCACCTTGGTCATGTCACCGTGCCTCGGTTTCCCTGCGGGCGGTGCTGAGTGTGAGGATTTGGGAGACGGTGGTGCAGCGCTGCATGGTTGCAACCCAGCGGCTGCAGCATTGCACGGGGACCCAGGGCAGGGTGCTTTCCCTCCGGCCCCCGCGGCACAGGCTGTCTCACTGTGTGTACAGCCCCTAGCGCGGGGAGGCGCCTGCACCCTGCAGCCCTGACTCAGCCCCGGTGCCTCTGCCAGCTCGGGCTTTTCAACCCCGTGGTCGCGGGTTTGATCCGGACCCGGGACACCCTCCCGGCCCCGCGTAACCCCGCGCTCCCCTGTCTCCGGCCCAGCCTTGCGCAGCCCCCTGAGCGTATCCAGTGCCTACACGTCGTCCTTCGGGATGGTGCCGCACGCGGCCATCAACGGGGAGCTCGCCGCCCCCAGCACCTACATGAGCATCCACCTGTCTCCGCAAGTCAGCGGCACCGTGATGTACGGCCGCTCGCCCATGGTGAGTGGGCGCCCAGCTCCGCTCCAGCAGCTTCCTCCGGGACAGCTGCTGTGCTCTTCCCCCAACAGTGTCCCTCTCCGCTAGCCTGGGGAGGGACCTCCTGCTGCCAGCTTGGGGGTGCGGGTCAGGGCATCCTTGGCACTGGGATTGGCTCACCCAGCCCCATTGCTTTTCCAGGTGGCATTTGAGTCTCACCCACACCTGAGGGCCTCCAGCATCTCCTCCTCACTCTCCAGCATCCCTGGAGGGAAACCGTAAGTGTGGGCGGCTTTGCCTGGGGCCGTGACACGGGGAGCGGAGGGTGGGGACCCCCGGCTTGCACAGCGGCGGGACGGGAGTGTCGCATAGTGGTCAGTGCGCAGCACGGGAATGCAAGATTTGCTGGCTGCTCTCGGCTCTGCCACTGCCTCCCTGCATGGCCCTTGGCAAGTCCCTTATAGGCAGCAGAGAGGGCTGTGATTACTTCTCCCAGCCCACGAACCCCGCTGTGGGCAGGGGAATCTGCTGACGCGGTCCCCAGCCTGCTCCAAGGGGGACAGTGCCTTTTCCAGCCCCCATCCAGGACACGTTCTCCCCCCTGCAGAGCCTACTCCTTCCATGTGAGCGCCGACGGGCAGATGCAGCCGGTGCCCTTCCCCCCTGATGCCCTCCTGGGCTCCGGCATCCCCCGGCACGCCCGGCAGCTGCACACCCTGACCCACGGCGAGGTGGTCTGCGCCGTCACCATCAGCAGCTCCACGCGGCACGTCTACACGGGCGGCAAGGGCTGCGTGAAGGTGTGGGACGTGGGGCAGCCGGGCACCAAGACGCCCGTGGCGCAGCTGGACTGCCTGGTACGGGGCAGGAGGAAGGAGCTGAGGAGGGGTAGCGGGGATCAGTGCAACCAGAGCAGTGGGGCCAACTCCCCGCAGGGGGTAAAGCACTGTGCGGGCTGGCAGGGAGCTCTGGGCATTTGCACCAGTGGAGGATCTGGAGTAGGGGGTGAGGGCTGAGTTGCAGTCGGGGGTGCAGTTGGCCGGGCACCCCCGGAGGCCCAGATCACTGACCTGCTCCCCGGCCCCTGCCCAGAACCGCGACAACTACATCCGGTCTTGCAAGCTCCTGCCGGACGGGCACAGCCTCATCGTGGGGGGGGAAGCCAGCACCTTGTCCATCTGGGACCTGGCCGCCCCCCCCCCGCGCATCAAGGCCGAGCTGACCTCCTCGGCGCCCGCCTGCTACGCCCTGGCCATCAGCCCCGACGCCAAGGTCTGCTTCTCCTGCTGCAGCGACGGCAACATCGTCGTGTGGGACCTGCAGAACCAGACCATGGTGCGGTGAGTGCGGGGCTCCCCATCCAGGCCGGCCCTGGTGCTGCCCTCGCCCCTTGCTGGCGGCTGAGCAATGAAGGACACTTCACCAGGGCTTTTTCCAGCCTAGAAAGTCAGTGCCAATGCCAAAGGCAAGTCCCCTGATGCCCACTGTCTCTCCCCGTCCCCCTGCTCCAGGCAGTTCCAGGGCCACACGGACGGCGCCAGCTGCCGGCACCAAGCTGTGGACGGGGGGGCTGGACAACACCGTGCGGTGCTGGGACCTGCGGGAGGGGCGCCAGCTGCAGCAGCACGACTTCAGCTCCCAGGTGGGTGCCGATACCCTGGAGGGCAGTGCCCCCCTCACCTGCAGCAGGCACGGCCTGACTCTGCCTCCTTTGCAGATCTTCTCGCTGGGGTACTGCCCCACGGGCGAGTGGCTGGCCGTGGGCATGGAGAGCAGCAACGTGGAGATCCTGCACGTCACCAAGCCTGAGAAGTACCAGCTGCACCTGCACGAGAGCTGCGTCCTCTCGCTCAAGTTCGCCGCCTGTGGTAAGAGCCGGTGGGGACCCTGTGCGCCCGGGCACGGGGCTGGGGTTGTCAGGGGACACATCCCGGCAGAAGCTGCCCCCATGGTCCCGCTCCCCCTGGGGCAGCTGGTTCCCTGCGGGGCAGCTTGGGGGCACCGGGCTGGCCCTGCTGACCTGGGCTGTCCCCCCGCAGGCAAGTGGTTCGTGAGCACGGGGAAGGACAACCTTCTGAACGCCTGGAGGACGCCATACGGTGCCAGCATCTTCCAGGTGGGCGAGGGCACGGCCATCGCCTCCTCGGGTGGGAGCCACGAGCCAGCGGCCCCCCCAGGCCTGGGCATCGGGGAGGTGGGGCTGGCCTAAAGCTGCCCTTTGCCAGGCTTGACCCCGTCCCTGCTAACCCCGCTCTCCCCACCCTGCAGTCCAAAGAGTCCTCGTCGGTGCTGAGCTGCGACATCTCCATCAACGACAAGTTCATCGTCACGGGCTCCGGCGACAAGAAGGCCACGGTCTATGAGGTGGTGTACTGAGGGGCCAGGGGCTCCCCCCCGCTGGGACCCTTGACCAAAGCCAGGCCCGGAGACATCCATCCCCTCGCCCTCGGCTCCGGGGCTCCCTCGTGGTGGAGGGGAGCGGGGCTCCCTCGTGCAGCGGTGCAGACTTCCCCACGGCTGCCCACGCCGAGGGTGGAGGAACGGCCGCCCCGGGGAAGCAGCAAGCCTCTCGTCCTCCCCGCGTTCCCTCCCTGGCAGCCGCGGCAGGCTAGGGCCGGGGGCAGGGCCCCTGCTCTCTCCCCAGCCTTTGGGGATGGGCAAAGGGCCGAGGAAGACAGCAGGGGGCAGGGAACGGGCTGGGGCTGAGGCCAGGTCTTTCCCCACCCGATTTGCTACTGATTCAGCACCCACCTTTCCCCCAGCCCGTATGTGCCGGGCGAGGCCGTGTGCCCACCCCGTCCCAATAAACACTTGGGATTTTCCTCCTGTCTGGACATCTGCTCATTTTAGGTGTCCGCTGCGTCAACCCAGCCTAGGACTGTGGGGTGCGGGGAGGAACGAGGCCCCAAAGCCACTGTGAGCCTGCCCCAGCACAAACTGCTGCAGCTGTGGGACCCCCTGCCACCGCTGCCCACATCTGGCAACGGTTGTGGAGCTGCTGAGATGGGCCACAGGCTTCTGGGGCTTGTGGGGGCAGCCCTGGGCTGGGGGCTAGGAGCCCAGGGATGGCAGCCTAGGCCCCTGCCAGCCTCCTACCTCGAGCTTGCATGTGCAGGACAGGCGGGAGGTCCGTCTTCCTGGAGGCACTGAGCCCGGGCACTGCATCTCCGTGCCCAGCCCCATCGCAGGGGAGAAGCTGGCCTGTCTCTAGCTGTGCAGGGATATGCCCCCCGCACAGGGCAAGCCCTCCTCCCCATGGCCCCTAGTCCACGCTGGTAGTAGGAACGCCTCCCCCATCCAGCCCCCTGGAGCGACGCCCCCCATGTGCAGGCTTGGGTGGACCTGATCCAGCCCAGACCCGGCAGCTGCAGCCAGGAGACAGCCAGGGGTAAGCAGGAGCAAGGCAAGGCCCCAGGTCCTGGATCCAACTCTGCGCCTGCCTCCTCTCTGCCCAGCCTGGCCAGCAGCCTGTGGACACTGGGCAGCAGACCTGAAGGAAGAACAGGCTCACACTGCTGGGCCCTTCCCCTCCTGCTGCAACCTGCAGCGAGTGCTGGGGGGCAGAGGGTTTTGCTCCAGGGCTTCCCCCAGGACCCAGGGGGCTTGCTTGCAAGCAATGAAGGCAATGGCAGGGGGCTAAAGGGACTGGCTGAGCAGCACCAGCAGGCAGAGGGGGCCAGTCGCTGCCCCAGGATGGTTGCAACATCCCCCAGTGCTGCAGGTAACCGAGCCTGGGATCGGCCCGGGATGGCAGCCACAGGTCCCCCAACCTTGCCCCCTGCCTTGGCATGTCCTTTGACCTCAGGCAGCTGCTAGGATGCTACAGGTCCCCTGCCAAAGGGAAGCGGGTACCTGGTGCCCCCAGACCACATGGCCTCCGCCCCTGAGACAGGATAGCACCAGCAGTGCATGGCCGAGATGGCTCCCCCCAGCCACGGACACCGCTGGCCCCAGGGCAAAGGGACATTGCAGCCACCCCTGCCTCCCCGCAACTGGAGGCAGACAGCACGGATGACACCACAGCTAGCACCACCGCCTGGACAGGTCACGGCCGACGCGAGGGACGGCGTGCAGGCCAAGGGAAAAGCAGCCCCCAGCAGCCGTGGAGCAGGCTGGAGGGGAAGAGCAGCGGAGAAGCAGGGCAGGGGCTCCCTTCTGGGGGGGATGCACTGTGGCCAGGGAGTGGGGCTCACTCCAAACCCCCCAGGTGCCGTCCTCTCAAGTAAGCAGGGTCCCAGGCCTTGGCAGAGCCCCGCTGCCCCATCGCAACACCCCAGCCCCAGCTCTTGCCCTAGCCAGGGACCTCAGCGCTGTTTTCTCTCTTTTTTATTAAATACAACCTAGACGCCGGCCGCCCAGCCCCGGCAGCAACAAAAAGCCGGTAAAAAAAAAAAAAATTCCCAATGGCTGCCGGAGTCCGAAGCAGAAACCCCACGGGAAGCAGAGGCAGAGTCCTGGGACCATGAGCTGCACCTCCAGTGCCCCCGAGCCCCTGTAGGCGAAGGGGGGGGTCCTAGTGGGGACCCCCGCAGCTCAGCGCCGTCCCACATCCCAACTGGGAGGGGGAGGGGGGGTCTTTGGAAGTGGCCGTCGCAGCTGCATCCAGACGGAGGGGAGGAGGGGGTGGGATGGGTGCCCCGGGGTCCCCCCGGCCATCAGCGCTCAGTAAATGACCTCGTACACGGTGGCCTTCTTGTCCCCGGAGCCGGTGACGATGAACTGGTCGTCGGTGGAGACGTCGCAGCTCAGGACGGAGGAGGATTCCTTGGACTGCAAGGGGGAGGGATGGGGTTGGGACTGGGAAGTGGCTCAGCATCCTTCCCATCCTCACCCCTCCCAGCTCCTGCAGCGTGAGTGATACTGGGTAGGCTTTGAACTCCTTCACCGGGCCAGCCCATTGTTCCCCAGGTAAGTGCTCTGATCAAGGACCCCCTCCAGCCACCCCCATAAAGATTTAACCCCTCACTGGCCCCTTCCCTGCCAGGACACATCACCCACTCTCACCTGGAAGATACTGGCAC